ATTATTATTATTATTATTATTATGTTATTTTTTATTATCCGTGAATGTTAGCAACTGGACAAATTGAATGCAGCGGTCAAGGAAAAGCGAGCAGAATTGGTCAATCGTAAAGGTGTCATTTTCCAGCAGGACAATGCTAGGCCGCACACGTCTTTGTCCACTCGGCAAAAATTCATGGATATTGGTTGGGAATTGATGTTACATCCACCATATAGCCCTGATCTCGCGCCATCGGATCACCACTTATTTCGATCCCTAGACAACTCCCTTCGTGGTAAAACTTTGAATGACGATGACTCTGTAAAATCTCACTGAACTCAGTTTTTGGCCGAAAAGGATCAGACTTTCTACGAGCGTGGAATTTTCAAGTTGTCAGAGAGATGGCAAAAGGCCATCGAACAAAATGGAAAATACATTGCAGATTAAACTTCATTCCAAGTAAAAAAAAATTTTTTATTTCATTGAACAAATCGGCAATTACTTAGTTGCCAACCCAATAGGAATATTGTATATATGTGCCTCGACAGTGGATGCAAAGTCGCCCTTTGCACTTCTTCTCGAACAGTTCGACTGCCACACACCAACAATCCCAAAAATTTGATGAAATTAAGATATTTCACTGAATCGAATGTAAAATTGAGAAGTCGAGTCGTGTGACATTCTGCGGATCTTAATAAAACGAGGGTGTTATCATAAATTAACGTGAAAAAGTAATCTTCAAATCTGCGCGAATAATGTCGTCACTCGCCCATGGATGACGTGGCGAACGTCAAACGTTAATTAAAAAACTGTCGTTGCCATTATTTCGCACGTGTTAAAATTATTTCGAGAAGAAATCAATTTGCATGCAACTTTTGTTTCTCGCAATTGATTTCTTTCGGCTTCGCGCGAAGATCCTACAATGATATAACCGAAGCTGAAAAATACAGAATCGAACACACGCAAACTTAACCGTTTGCGTACCACGAGCCACTTTTGCGCTCTTCAGATTTTGTGTCGAGAAAAGCCAGGGCATTTGGCCGAAACAGACGACTTATGGCCCACCCGAAATTCGTCGAAACGTGCTCAGTCTTTCAGACGCATGTATACGTCGCGCGTCGCATCGCTGTCAGTAATCCAATTTGCATTTTGTTGTTACCTATTCTAAATTAATAGTATATATATTTTCATTCGTAACGTTTTATTTTATGTCTTACGGCTTTTTTCGACACATAATCGAAGGAGCGCTATTGCGCTCTTCGGCGCTTTTCGATCCTGTTTTTTCAGAACCATCTGGTACGCAAACGGTTAATCGATGTTCTATTATCTCGCTCGGGATGCATCGAAAGCAAGAAATCAAGGAATGCGCTTCTACCGAGAAGTGTCCCTCGGCAGCGGGGTACGGAAGTGTACGATGGTGCATGATCGAATAAACGATCTCCGCGAGACAAGCACGAGGTTGACAGACGATCATCATGACAACACGACACAAATAGCTCGTCAGTTTGGCGTCGATCGCGACGGCAGATAAGTCAGCGAACTAAAACCCATCGATCTATATACAACTTTCTTGAACTCGCGAACTTCTCGTGTAAATGTCGAGTGTGCGGTGGACAGGAAGCGTGCTCGGTCGCATCGGGCTCAGGCTTTTCTCGATTTTCTCCACGTACCCGTTCGAATAGATCCAGGAGTCTTTTGTGTGCAAGACCGAGGACGGTGACGGATAATCGAGCTCCTCCAGGTGGCTAAAGTCCTTTGATCTTTCCGGCTTGGTGGTCCCGTAATTTGGCTCGAAAATGTCCGGCCTCTTGTCCACTTTGTTTGGAATCACGTCTGGATCGTCGTCCGGAATATCAGCGAACACTTGTCCCTTGACCTCCTCTCTGAAATCTTTGTTCAGCGGCGCTATCACCACCCGGTCCTCCTTGTTTCCGTACTGCACGACCTCCGTGTGGGCCTTCATCGTGCGAATCGGATGGCTGCGACGATACAAGGTCAAAGTTATCCCCACAATCAGAATGCACACGGCCGTTATACCGCCAGCGAAACAGGCAACCAAGAGGCTGTAGTCGGTGCTCTCGTTCGAAGTTCCGCGACCTGCGGACAAAGGAGGACGTGGCTCACGTAAAAGCGATTGTTACCGACTCTCTGTCGGCGAGTTAGGTGGGAGAGGAGGGGGGGGCTTTTTTATTACGAGACGATCAACGTGGATTCCGCAGTCTCGATGCGTCCCGCATCACGACAACAAGGATTCCTTTTATTAAATTCGCGCGGCTACTAACGAGGAATACGATTAAATCTCCACGACGATTGCGACCCTTTGCCCTTTGTGGCTGTCGCCGATAAGCGACCATCGACTGCATTCTCTTGCAAGGATCGATCTCGTGCATCACGGTTACAATCAATATTGGATTATGTTCATTTATCCTTTTAGGTACGGCTGAATTCTGCGCGAGGCTATTTCTCTGGACGGCAGAGTCTGATACTGTATATACAAGGTGTCCCAAAAATGTCTCGCAATCCGAAAGTGGCGGGTTCCTCAGGCCATTTGAAGCAACTTTTTCCTTTACAAAAATTTTCTCCGAGGCACCGTTAACGAGTTATTAACGAAAAACAGTGACCAATGAGAGGCGAGCTCGGCTGGCGC